CCCCAAAACCCCAAAACCCCAAAACCCCAAAACCCCAAAACCCCTTTAAAGCGTGACATAATGGAAAGGAAATTCAGATAATAATAAATCTATCATTACGCAAAATGTTAATTACTTAATACAGATGACAAAGTCACCCTTAGACTTGTTGCCTCCGAGATTTTTGAATTTATTCTTCAAAAATCTACTTCTCTTGGCCTTCTTAGCGAAAATTCCCATTACACGTTCAACTTTGTGCTTATTATCTTCATCAAATATTTGATCGCAGAGAGTCTGTACAGTCTCTTTTCCAATAAATTTCAGCATTTTAGTAGATTCTTTAGCTTCAGCTGATTTAGAAACAACCAATGCCTTTCATATTGTCTCAAGGAATGTCTCAAGTCAGTGAAGATTTGGGTAGTTAACCTCAGAAGTGTAATAACTTGGGTCTAAATTTTGAATTCAAATCGTTAATGCCTCCCAAACCTTGTTCTTGATAAAATTATTCTTATAATCAGAATGAGCTCATAAAACATCAATGCATTGAGGGTAGGCCATGCTTGCAGCTCAGAATTGTAATGCAAACTGTGATTCTGTGCTGAGGAAGGTACTTTCAAATCCAATCTTAGTTATTATGAATGGCAAGAGACTTCAAGTGAATTCTACCAGACTTTCCGGGCGATCACTCATATAAATTTCTTGACAGAAAATGAGTACATTCTTGCCCAAACAAGTCCTCGGAGAGTTGATTCAGTAATCCAAGAATGGAAATATTTCCATTGATTTCTCTCCGATCAACTCGGGTTCATATTTATTAAGCCTTCTTAATAAGTCAGTCGCGAAAAACTGCTCTTTCCAATCATCAGATGAAGAGTACCTAAGGGCTTCACAGTAATGGTCATCCTTCGTCCGTTCTTCGAATGGAAGAAGGTCGACATATTCTGTGTAAGTGACGCCATTCTTGCGCTCATCTTCTCCAAGGAAATTTTCTTCCTGTTCTAAATCCTCCATTTTGTTAAATATGTTAATTCTCAGAAATTTATAATTTCTGAGGAGTATCAATTATTTAAATTTACTGAGGGGTTTTGGGGTTTTGGGGTTTTGGGGTTTTGGGGTTTTGGGG